CTACAACGGTTTAGCATGGAAGAATCCAAACGAGGATATATTCCAATGAGTCATGGGATTTCTCTTTCTAAGACGATGTCTCCAAAGACACCTGAAGAAAGAGAACGGATGAGTCATATACCTTATGCATCAGCTATTGGTAGCATTATGTATGCAATGTTATGTACAAGACCTGATGTGGCTCATGCACTTAGTGTAACGAGCAGATATCAGTCTAATCCAGGTGAAGAACACTGGAAAGCCGTTAAGATGATTCTTAAGTACTTACGAAGGACTAAGGATATCTTTATGGTATACGGCAATGGAGAACTGAAACTAGAAGGCTTTACTGATTCTGGTTTTCAGTCCGATAAAGACGACTATAAATCCATGTCTGGATACTTATTTACTCTGAATGGAGCAGCAGTTAGTTGGAAAAGTTCCAAACAAGAAACAATTGCTGACTCTACGACAGAGGCTGAATATATTGCTGCATCTGATGCTGCAAAAGAAGCTGTTTGGATAAGGAACTTTATCCAAGGGTTGGGTGTAGTACCATCCGTTGTTGATCCAATAATGATTTATTGTGATAACAATGGGGCTATTGCGCAAGCAAAGGAGCCAAGATCTCATCAAAAATCCAAACACATTATGAGGCGATACCATTTGATTAGAGAAATCATTGGTAGAGGCGATGTCGTGATGGAGCGAGTCGACTCAGCAGAAAATATAGCAGACCCCTTAACTAAACCCTTATCACAGAAAGTGTTCGAAGGACATCTTGAGAAGATGGGTCTTAGATACATGAGTGATTGGAACTAGGGCAAGTGGGAGATTGTTAGAGTAGGGTACCCGGCGTTCCAATCTAATTGGACGTATTCTACTTGTAAATACAGTCTATTGGAATTATATTATGAATAAGGCATTTCTTTATCTTAAGAGAAAGCATTTATCTTATAATTGCACTTAAGATAAAATCCCTAGATCACTTATGGTTATAAGGTATGGTTGCGCATAGAGATGGTGATCATGGAACATACCTTGAAAGCCGTGATCTTAAATACAGTTCCAAGTCGATGGATGTTTCGAGATGGGATATCGAATAATCCATAAAAGACTTGCACATAGTTTGTATGCTTGTTGGACAAGAATGTTGCATTCCATCAACATTAGCGTAAGACGTAAGTACATTTATGTGGGTGCTTGTTAGAGAACAAGTTCACTGAACATGACCGTATGAAAATTCTTAATGAAGAATTTATTCAGTCGAATAAGAATTTTCATGTTACAATAGTACATGACTAATCCTAAGACTTGAGGCACAATGGTAACTTTGTGCATATTACATTCTACTTTGATTTATCCTTTTGGTAGCTAGCACTATCGTTTAAAGGGATAAGTTGGGTATTATGTTAATATGTATGGAAGTTTGTTAGTGGCCAATAAAGGATTCGACACTTATGAAGATAAGTGAATTTCCTATGTGTTTCATAGTTATTAATCCAAAGTCCTTGGCCAAGGCAGAGATGAATAGTGATTCATAACCGGGTTAATAAACATGAAATAGAATCATAGTTATTAAGTCAATTTGGGTTTCGACAAAATCATACCCAAGACTTAATCGGGAAATTAGATGTCGAAAGGATTTTACATGTATGGAGTTGTAATCGGAATAGGTTTACTCGCTATTCACTTAATACTAGATTCATGATACTTGCTAGGTGTTACCATGATATGTGGGTTCATGAATTAAGGGGTTAATTCTTGAATAAGAGTTAATAAGATTTAACTCAAATTACAAAGTGTTGTAAACCCACTACTAGTATTAATAGTGAACCTAAAAGGTCACACTAATTATGAACAAAGGTAAAGATTGTATTTCTAATGGTTAGAATTAATTGATAAATATCTAATTTGATTAGATGTCAATTAAAGGAATATATTAATCAATAAGATTGATTAATTACATTTTGGATATTACTTTAGTAATTAAAGTAATTACTAAATTAATAAAGTTGAATTTTAAAATAGGATTTTAAATTTCAAATCCAAAATAATAATAATATGATTATTATAAGATTGGGAAAATGATATAATAATAAAGTCTTGAGAAAGATTCTCAAGATTTATTATCCAATTATTATTTATATCTTTAAATATGATTTAAGGATTAAAATAAGAAATATGATTATAATAAAATGGTTGTTAATGGTTGTTTGAACTACTTAACATATCTTATTATTTTCAAAGTCAATGGTTAGTAAATACTATTTAAATAAAATTTGATTTTATTTAAATATTACTAAATATTGATTATTTTATGCTAAAATGTTTAGTATAAATAGATGCAAAATGTTTGCAAAGAAGTGAAGTGATTTTGTGAGAAAATCAAAGAGAGAAGAAAGTGTTCTTCATATATTTCAAGAAAGTGTTCTTGATAATTCCCAAATTATATCTATATATATATTCCTATACAAGAAAACCGAGACATTTCTACTAGCGAAGAAAGGTCGTCGGAACCGGGCTTCATAGGGTGGATACGATTAGAGGGAAGACACTTGGATTCCTAAAGCGAGTAACCTCAAGCCGTTGAAGTTACAACCGGGAACCGATTCCCACAATCCACATCTTTGTTGAAGGAGTTCAAGACACTCGGTAAATATTTCGTATTAGTATTTAGAATTTACTTACAACAAATCAAAATTTGTATATGATGCATGTTTTAAAGATGACGATCAGTTAATTCGCAATTAGTATATACGGGTGTTGTATTTATACGATAAATACTTACTTTGAAAAATTTTAAATTCCGCTGCTTAAAGCCCGTACGGTACTAGCGAACCCAACAATACTGACCCTTGTCCGTGGAGATTGTATGGCAGTTTGGTACAATCTGAGGGTAGAGTTGCCATCAAAAGATTGGTGTCAGAGCATCAATGTTTTACGGACATTAGGACCAGACAAGCAACTTCTGATTGGGTAGCAACTGAGTATTTAAAAAAGTTCAGGAAACAGCCTAGTATAAAGGCCGCAGATATACAGGAGCTCATTATGGACAAGTTTGGAGTACAACCATCCAAATGGAAGTTGTATAGAGGGAAATACAAAGCTCTTGAGATGCTTAGAGGCTCTGAATCAGAACATTATGGGTACCTCAGAAATTATATTGCTGAGCTGCAGAGGGTGGATAGAAATGGGAGATTTGGACTGCTATTAGAAGAAGGACATGTTTTCAAGGCTTTCTTTATTGGCTTCAGTGCTTTAAGGGAAGGGTTTCTGCAAGGATGTAGGCCAATAATTGGATTTGATGGTTGCTTTCTAAAGACATTTCTGGGAGGTGTGTTGTTGTGTGCAGTTGGAAAAGATGGGAACAACCAAATATATCCTTTGGCTTGGGCTGTTGTTGACTCAGAGAATGAACACAACTGGAGGTGGTTCTTGACTATACTGTTTCAAGAGTTTAGAATAGAGGATGGTTTGGGTTGGACATTCATTAGTGACCAATAGAAGGTTGGTACACTTCATGTTTGTTTCAGTGTGCATTTATGTTATATTTTTTCTAATTTATGTTCAATTTTCTACTTGTAAGGACTGATTGCAGCTATCAAAGAACTCACACCACATGTTGAGCACAAAAACTGTGCTAGACATGTGTATATGAATTGGAAAAAAAAAGTACCCAGGGAAAACATTGAAGGACCTATATTGGAGAATAGTGCACAGCACATACCGAGTAGCCTACAAGGAAGCTGTTGATGAGTTGAATGTGGCTGATCCAGATGCATGCAAGGATTTACTTGACAAAGAAACCTTTAGATTTTGCAAGGCTTTTATTGCAGAGTTACCCAAGTGTGATATGATAATGAGCAATGTATGTGAGACATTTAATAGTACCATTGTAGCTGCTAGGAAAAAACCAATTGTGGAGATGCTTGAGGTCATTAGAACCTATGTTATGGAAAGACACCATGAGAAACTTATGTTGGGTAGTGCTGTGAGTGATGTGCTTTGTCCTAGGATTAGGAAAAAGGTTGAAGAGGCTAAGTGCAAAAGTAGATTGTGCCACACTAAGCCTGCTGCGGATGACAAGTTTCAAGTGGCAATTTCAGAAGATCAGTTTGTAGTTGACATGAGGGAGATGAGTTGCACCTGTAGAGAGTGGGATATCTCTGGGATTCCTTGTGCCCATGTCTGCTCTGCAATTGTTTATCAGAAAAAAGATGTGGCAACCTTTTTACATCCTTACTTCAGCCTTGAGAGGTATTTAAAGGCCTATTCTTTTTCACTTGAACCTTTGAATGGGAAAAAAAAAGGTGGCCTGAGGCAACCGGGGCAAAAGTGAGACCACCTCCATTTAAAAAAATGCCTCGGAGACCTAAAATGGCAAGAAAAAAAGCAACTGAAGAGGAGAAGAAAAATGCTACAACCTTGAAACGTTTTGGATTGCAAATGAGATGCCAAAGATGCTTGAAAGTTAGACACAACAAGAGAAGCTGCAAAAATGAAGCTGCACCCAAGCCTCAGAAGGTATATGGTACATTTATTTTGTTCAATATTTTGTGTGTGTTAATAAATTATTCACACTTTTATTTGCATTGTTAGGCAAAAAGAGGTAGACCAAGGATACATGCATTGCCTAGTAGGTCTGAGAATATACCAGTTGTCCCTCCAACACAAGACAGTGGCCACATAGCTTCACCTCCAACACAGGTCAATAGCCACTTAACTGCACCTCCAACACAAGAAACAGGAAGAAAGAGGAAAAATCCAACACAAGAACATGAATCCACATAGCTCAAACAATGAAAGATAGAGCACTGGTATATTTAAACTATTTAAATTGACTTACAAACTGATTCACTATATTTATGTGTATATTTTATTTCAGGCAAGGAAGGGATATGGTGTGTTTGTTTCTGAAGAGACAGGATCGATTTACATGAGGGTTAGCTATTATTTACTTCATCTTACTAGATATGTTGTGTCCATTTCAATTAAGTTGAATGCTAATATATTTGCAGATGTCAAGTGACAAAAAGAGTGCGCTTGGTGAACTCTGTTGGTGGTCCTAGTACCAGGAGCCGATCCAAGAACTCTGTTGGTGGTCCTAGTACCAGGAGTCGATCCAAGAACTCTGTTAGTGGTCCTAGTACAAAGAGTCCATCCAAGAACTCTGTTGGTGGTCCTAGTACAAAGAGTCCATCCAAGAACTCTGTTGGTAGTCCTAGTAGCAGGAGCCGATCAAATAAAATTCAAGATTGTTCTGTTTCAGGCACTCAAGAGAGTGTGGCTAATAAGTAGTTTTGTCTGATTATGGATTGAAGTAGTTGTGGACTTGATTTTGAAACCTAATTTGCATTGGTGAACCTTTTGTTGTACTTGGTTGTGTACTTGGTATTTTGAAGTATGAATTTACTTGGTTGTGTACTTGGTATTTTGAAGTATGAATTTGTGATAAGAATTCTAATTAGTGTGTGCTGGATATTGGGTATTAATTTGAAGTGAAATATCTATTTTGGTATATTGGATATGTTTGAGATTTTGGTATGTTGGATATTTTGGTGTGTATGTTTTAGGCAGCCATAATTTGCATTTCTTGCTTTTATTTTGGGTTCTTGATATCAGGTTGTCTACATGATTCAAAGGAAATCATGTAGCTATTGTGAGGATTTACATTTAGTTTGTGAAGATGCAACTTTTTTCTTATTGTGATTCAAATAGAATAGAACTTCAATTTGCCATTTCCATTACATAATTGCATACAACTTCACGTAGAACTGCAGTCTGCCAATTCCATTAGATAATAGCATCATACAAATTCAATCTACCATTTCCAAAACCAACACATACCTGCCAAAAGACAAAACCTACATCTACCAACCATAATAATACAAAACCAACATCTACCAACCATAATACAAAACCAACACTGTCTATTTAAGCATCAGTCTACCATTTCCATTTCCAACTCCATTACAAAACATAGCCACACAAAAAACTAAAACTAACAAAATCAATTTTCTCTCAATCTTCTTTCTCTTGCACATTGCATGAATGGCCTTCTCCAACTCTTCATTCTTGTTTTGTAGCCGAATAATTTCATTCTCCTTCAATTCTAGCTGTGCATGAATGGCCTTCTCTAGGTCTTTATTCTTGTTTTGTAGCTTGCACATGGCATGAATGGTCTTCTCCAAATCTTCATTCTTGTTTTGCAGCCTAAACATTTCATTCTCCTTCAATTCTAGTTGTGCAATGGTCTTCTCCAAATCATCATTCTTGTTTTGTAGCCTAATAATTTCATTCTCCTTCAATTCTAACTTCTCAGCAAGCAAACTCTCAGAATATTTTGTGCACTTTAATTGCTTCTCCAACAGATTATTCTAAGACTTCAACTTAAAAAATGTAGCCTTTTGGAATGGAGGTAATTCTTCATCAACCCATTGAAAGTACTTACATTTCTCACCCTAAAGGAAGGCAAACTCTCAGAATGAAGGCGTAAGAAAATTTTTCGTCAATTGCACAAAAATAAAACACTAAAAGGAAGGTAAACAAACTCAAGATCACTGTTTATACAAGTTTCTCAGTTAAATTCAGGCTTCCAGTTTCAGAGTCAAATCAACAATGCCCTAATTTTCAAATGCCTAATTTACAAAAATCAACAATTTTAAATGCCCTAATTTTCCGAGTCAAATGCCCTAATTTTCAAATGCAAAATCTACAATATTACAAAAATCTACCAAATCAAATAGCCCTAATTTTCATTTGTAAAATCTTCAAAATTGCCAAATTCAATGGTTCGATCTTCCCCAAATAAACATACTCTCATATGCAAGCATATCGAGCCATTATATTATCGAATTCGAAAAAGCTTACATCTTCATTTGGACATCTGTGAAATCGCCGTGATGGGTTCTTGTCTGTGGTTGAAGTCAACACATCTGCGATCAATCCATGGAAGCACACTACACGCCGAGTATCGCTCGAATCAGACGACATTGTTGCAGGTGAGTTTGAGAGGATTTAGTTGGGAATTAGGGTTTATGTGGATCGAAAATGAGGAATTTTGCAACAACATTCATGATATATGCTATGTGCGAACGACACCGTTTTTTCTAGCTAAGCCACGTCAACCCCTCAAAATTTCTGTCACTTCCAAGTCAGCACTCTGTAAACGGCACCATGACTTGTGGTTCGTTTTGCAAAAAAAGGAAAAGCTCGTGATTAAATTGTCAATTCCCAAATGTGGTGATTAAAATGCAAAATTGTGAAAGGTGATGTATTAAACTGCAATTTTGCCTAAAATTAATTATTGGTGATGATGGGTGTAACCACCATACCAAACAAATATCTATAACACTCTCCCTTGAATGACTATTTTCTAAAAAGAATTTAACTGATTTGGACAAATTAAAATCTGAACATCTTCAACTATATCTGTGGTCATTAGGTTCTAGTGCTTCAGCATGTCAGTAAAACCCAGAAGTCGCTAGGCGCCCGCCAGTAGCTCGACCAATGCCTAGCGCTTAGAGCGCCTAGTCAGGGCCCAGGTAGGACCTAGAAATTATAATAAATATATTATCTTTATTTATTTTCACAATTTTAATAATGAAATTACAACTTATAATTAATAAATTCATACACCTAAGTCCAAATAATATTATTAATATAATATTATAATGAAAACATAATAGCATTTAACAACAACCACAAGATTGTACTTATTGCAATTTCAAAACGAACTCCAAGTCAAAATACTATTAAGTACATAAGCACAAGCATTTCAATCGACCTATACCGCCCGCCATGACTTTCTCACATAACAAGCATTTAACCCTATCTTTGTTACGTGGATCGGCTAGAACACCATAATTCCAACCTATGTCATCGAACTTTCTTTTAAGTAGAGAATCGGTCTCGATCTCAGTGGATGTTCGGGATTCACGCGGAATACTTTTTGACGTCGAACTACTACCACTTACCACTGTGAAAACCTAAAAACAAAAGAGTGGAAGAATACATAAGTAATGTTGTTGCAAGAAGGAAGACAAATACACAATGAACATAAAATTATACTACTATCCTTTTTTTCATTTTTTAAATTTTAAGTTTTAAATTTCTACTAAGCTCTAATTTTATCAAACACATTAACTACATGTTATGTTTTAAACATTACACAACATAATATAATTATAGCAACCAACTAAACACTAAATTTCACTAATCACATCAACTAATTAACTAATTAATTTAACATAAATAATAATACAATAAAACAAATGAATAACAAAATAAGGAATAAAAAAAATATATGCCCAGGTTAGTAATATATATACAATAAACATAAAGCTTCTTTTCAGATTATTAAGAGCATCCGCATCGGGCATTATTTTGCTCCATTTAAATGACAGTTGGTCCATTCAGACCAATGTGGGCATCCATTTATATGTGGGCCCCTTTTGCCCGTTAATTACTTTGAACGGCACTTTGGGTGCCTTTATTTTTTTTTATTTTTTTTTTTGTTTTCATTTAATTTTATTCTTTTCTTTTTCTTTGTAATTTTAATTCTACTATTTTTAATCTTTTTAATAATACTAGTTTTAATTTATTTCATTCTACTAATTTTATTCTTTTTAATTCTATTATTTTTTTTTTGTTGTGTAATCTTAATTTAGGTTATTTTGGTCTTGTAGTGTTCTTTTATTTTCATGCATTTAAAATTTATTATTATAATTTAAAAATATTAAATTTTTATTTTTATTGAGAATAGAATATTGGTCTTGTTTGGTAAATGGCTTTTTGGCCAACTTTTAGCGTTTTGAGCAATATTAGCGGTTTGACCAAATTAAAACCACTAAAATATGTGTTTGATTAGATAGCTTTTTAAGTTAGCGGATTGCATGAAAACGCTAAAATTGAAACCACTCCAATTCAGAGCGTTTTGGAAGATGAATGGCTTTTTTTGGCTGAATGGGTCTAATTAAGGGGTTCTATGTAGTGGAGTAAGACAATTGTATAAATAAAAAAGAAATGAAGTGAGATGAATGAAAAAAAAATCTCACTAAAAGATGTTTAATAAGTTATGCACAGTCACGTTTAATAAAAAATGTTTGATTGAGTAATTTGTTATTTTAGAAATTATGTACAATTACTTGTCATTTTTTTTTCTAAGTATTACGAAAATAAATTTATCCAAGATAAATAAAATATTAAATTATATTAATAAACTTCCAAGTAATCATATACACAAATAATTAAAAATAACTAATTTTACCAAACAGTATTTTACAAATCGTAAACACAATCAGCTGGTCAAATAAGCTAACGTAATCCGCTAATAGCTAACAGCTAACGACTAATTACCAAACAAGGCAATTAAAATTCATATTGAATGAATGGATATAATGGGTCCATATTTATATTTAAATGAATGTGTAGGGATGTGGGTGTGTGTTTAAATGGAGAGAGAATTAGTGAAAAGATAATGTGGATGAGAGAGAGTGTAACTTTTTGATTGAATGAATGGAAAAAATGTTAAACCAATGCAGATGCCCCAATAACACAAGCCACTGTCAACAATTAGGCTGCTATGGTCAATTTTTTGGACTTTCACAATATCCCATTTTTTGTGCAGCATCACGCCATCACCCTAGTTGCTTTATTGAAAAAAAATGAAAAGTGAAATTGAGTGATAATGAGCTGTCATCTGACTTTTAACTAAACAATAAAGTGATAAACATAAACAATTATACATACAGTTATAGCCATTCTTTAGTCTTTAGTCTTTATAGACTTTATCCTCTTTTCTTTTCAGTTTTCAAAAATCAAAACTTAAAATAGTACCTGAGTGAGAGGGTGTTGAGTAATTAATGGTAAAGGCGTAGAGATTGGCGACTGGCGGACAAAGGGCAAACTTCAACGGAGATAGACGGTCCAAGCGGATGGAGACTGGAAGCCGATGAACGAGAGTATGGTGGACGAGGTTTACTGCTCTGTCCTCTTCTGCTTATTACGATTTTTATTGTATAATCTGTCTGATTTCGGCCCATTTAGTGATTANCAAACCGCCGAGAACCCGCCTCAGCCGCCTAGTCCCGCCGAATCCGCCTAGCCGATTTAACCGCCGCCTAGGCCGATTTTTAGAACATTGCTGCCAAGGCACTCTTACTGTGAACAAGATTTGTGGTTGAAAATTGAATTGAACAAGCGAAAAAAAAAAGCAACAGTTTGTGGTTGGGAACCGAATTGAACAAGTTGAAAATTTTCAATCCCAAACCGATATTTGAACAAGTTGCGTTTGGTCCAATTTTCCAATTATTTTAGGTTTCATTTAGTTTGTATTTAGGTGTTAAATTGTAATTTATTTGTTCAGATAAATTAGTTGAACATTAATTTATTGTTTTGTGTTTTAATTGTTGTTACCTTTACTTTCATATTTTTTTAATTTGGAAAATTTATTTGAATAAATTAAATGTTCAATTCATGTAGTGTGTGATGTATAAATATTTCTTTGTTTTTCTCTTAAAACTAAGATTTGAGACTGTAAGTTGGAACACAACTGGTTTGGCGAACGCATCGATGTTATTTGAAATTGATTTGTTTGAGTTAAGGAGTCAAAACTCGAGTCAAAGCCGGGTTGTCATGCGGCAAGGAAAAATCATGGTCAAGAGAAATTCTTCAGTTGTATTACTGGTGAGACACGATTATAACTTTTGGCGACGTAATCCCAAAAGTTAATAATCGTGTCTCACCAGTAAAATAAAGGCGACGTGACTGAAGAATTTTTTCTCCTGGCCATAATTTTCCCTTGCCGCATGACAACCCGACTTTGATTCGAGTTTTGACTCCTTAACTCAAACAAATCAATTTCAAATAACATGATGCGTTTCCCTGCCGTAACGCGCCAGTCCAGTTGTGTTCTAACTTACAGTCCTAAATCTTAGTTTTAAGAGAAAAACAAAGAAATATTTATACATGCACTCAATACATGAATTGAACATTAGTTTTGCTCAAATAAATTTTCATTGAACAAATTAAGAAAATATGAAAATAAATGTAACTAACGTTAACAAATAAAACACAAAGCAATAAATAAATGTCCAACTAATTTATTGTTTTGTGTTTCAATTGTTGTTACCTTTACTTTCATATTTTTTTAATTTGGAAAATTTATTTGAATAAATTAAATGTTCAATTCATGTAGTGTGTGTATGTATAAATATTTCTTTGTTTTTCTCTTAAAACTAAGATTTGGAACTGTAAGTTGGAACACAACTAGTTTGGCGAACGCATAGATGTTATTTGAAATTGATTTGTTTGAGTTAAGGGGTCAAAACTCGAGTCAAAGCCGGGTTGTCATGCGGCAAGGAAAAATCATGGTCAGGAGAAATTCTTCAGTCGTATTACGTTGCCTTTATATTATATTTTACTGGTGAGACACGATTATAACTTTTGGCGACGTAATCCCAAAAGTTAATAATCGGGTCTCACCAGTAAAATAAAGGCGACGTAATACGACTAAAGAATTTTTTCTCGTGGCTATGATTTTCCCTTGCCGCATGATAACCCGACTTTGACTCGAGTTTTGACTCCATAACTCAAACAAATCAATTTCAAATAACATGATGCGTTTCCCTGCCGTAACGCGCCAGTCCAGTTGTGTTCTAACTTTCTAACTTACAGTTCAAAATCTTAGTTTTAAGAGAAAAACAAAGAAATATTTATACATGCACTCAATACATGAATTGAACATTTAGTTTGCTCAAATAAATTTTCATTGAACAAATTAAGAAAATATGAAAATAAATGTAACTAACGTTAACAAATAAAACACAAAGCAATAAATAAATGTCCAACTAATTTATCTGAACAAATAAATTACAATTTAACACTTAAATACAAACTAAAAGAAACATAAAATGTATAAAATAATTAGAAAAATTGAACCAAACGCACCGTATTAAACAATTTCATCCATGTTGTGGAGTACAAATGAGACTGCACATCCGGTGGAACCAAACCAAACCAGTTGAAATTTCAATTTAACCAAGCTAGGTAATCAAATATCGGTTGGGATTGAAATTTTTCAACTTGTTCAATTCAATTCCCAACCACAAACTGTTGCTTTTTTATTCGCTTGTTCAATTCAATTTTCAACCACAAATCGTTTTCACAGCAAGAGTGCCTTGATGCACCCATCCATTGAGTTGTGATGCCCAAAATAATATGCTCCAACCAACCAATGGTCAACAAAAAAAAAAAGAATTGAGAGATAAAGCAACACCGAATCATAATTCTGGAAATAAAGCAACACCGAATCAAATTTCTTATTCAACTTTTACCAAATTTTCAGTTTCTTGTAACTAATAAAAAGAAATTGTACCAGATTCTCGGGAGCTTAATGGTTTGGTTAATTTGTTCTCGGGAGCTTAATGGTTTGGTTAATTTGCCGAGGCTCCTAGAGGATGTGCTTGACCTGGTAAAACTTTCAGCATTTTCTCTTCTACCTGCTGGATTGCTTCTTCCTTGAAATGAGAGCAAGAATATGATATTATAATTAATTGTAAACAATATCACTATTGTTACAACAAAAACATCGATAATATTTCACAGCTATTCATTTCATGACTAAGACACCAACTCAAAACAACAGGTACTCAACAATGTTTACCATAATCAAGTATAGATAATATATATTCCTATCACAATAGTTTAACAGATATTCAAAAGAAATAATAGATTAGATATAAAATGATTTATTACTGGCAGAGAGAGGGAGAGCTTAAGCACTCAATGACCCGTTTTTTAAATACAAGCAGACGTAATAGGCAATCTAAAAAAAAGGAAAAGAAAAAAAGGAAACAAGAAACATCCTCAAAGCACATTTGCACAACCAGACCACAAATAAGAAAGTCTGAAACCCAAGTGAATGTAAATTAGGCTAGGTCTTTGAGATGCCGCACACAGGAAATCATCTATAGCCATACTTACAGTTACTACACTCTGTTTACCAGCTCGAGCTGCAACCACGGCAGAGCAAGTTCCGTATCTTCCACCCATTTCTTGCCTAACCTGAAATCAGCTTTTCTCCATTTCTCAATCCTGAGGTTCTAATACTATGGAATTCAGAATCACAGTAAGATGACGAAAAAAGAACGGACGATCTCACTTCGCGGGAAAATCTCTTCATGGATGACGCCTTTTCAATCAATTTCAGTCTGCAGCAGTAATGAAAACTGAGGAGGTCGATAAATCAGCCAAATTTACAATGTGGCCGCAATAACTAAATGATGCAAAAGGAAATATGCAAAAATGGCGATTGCATTGCACTGTACCGCATGAAAATGGGGCGAGCACCAAGCGCAGGCACGAGGGCGGAAAGCTTTGTGGTCTGGTATTGAAACATAAACAAACACGATTTCATTGAAACATTGTTCTCAAATCATTACAGAATATCGAAGGATTCTCGAGAGAGAAGGAGAGAAAAATATGAGAGCGGCTTATTGAGAGAAGGAAAAGTGTCGATTACTCAACCCTAATTGAGTATTTATACCTAGTCTACAAATGTAAATATAACAAGTTGCAAAGGTCAAATAATAATAGATATATAATGGGCTTTGTTGTGTGGCCGTCCCGACTCAACCGCTCGACTCATTGGCAGTGGAAGCTTCTCTTGAGCTCGACCGACCCGCTAGCAAGCCCTCTCGGCTTTCAGGAGCTGCTGCTCGTCTACAGTTGACTCCCGAACCGCTGTCCGAGCTCCCGGGCTGATTCAATCAGCTTCATTCAGGCCCGTTTTTCAGCCTGGTTCAACTGAAATCAAACACACCAATTAATTCCTAATAACAACAATAATCAAAGGGAAAATTACACTAAGTAATTTGCTGTAAAGGAATTAAAGAGAAGGAATGGTAAAACTCCCTTTCGACGACGACTGAAGGAGAGGGACACGAAGTCGGCTCTCCCGGCTCAGATAGCCCTAGAGCCCGGCACCCTCGGTAAGTAGGGGCTCGGCGGTGGTCAACGAACGGCGACCCCGGTTCCTCAGCCCGTCCCCGGGCTGCACCTCACACACGAGCCCCGCACCCGACCAATCCGTCGCCTACCCCCTCCTCTAGCACAGCGGCTCGTCGGAAGTCCTACACAAGGACTGTTGCCGACGGGTTGAGCACGGCGACGGCGTCGGCACAAGGGCTGTCTCTCGGCGGCACTCCAACGGCAAGACGACGGCGACTCTCAGCTCTCACACACTCCTCTCACAAGGTCACAGAGAACCAAGGGTTTTTCACTCACAGAAAAGAGAGAAAGCAGGAGCGCAGCAGAGAAGAGAGCAGAGGGTGTGTTATGTCGTGTTGGTGGCGAAAATGAGAGATAGGGTATTTAGGGTGTAGTGGAAGGCTGGGATTAAATCCCCAAATCCAACGGTTCCAATTAAACCGGGTAAGTGAGTGCCAGGCCCAGACGGGATTGGGCCGAGACGTCCACGGGCCTGAGAGTTGGGCCAAATTTCCAACAGGCTTGTTTGTTTTTTTTCAAAATTATTATATGAAGACAAAATAAAAAATAATACATTCAGTTGCAATATCATCAATTTCCTGTGCAGACCGCTCGCTTTGCAGTTACGAGATTCACAAAATTGAATTTGGTATTCTTCATCCACATATGCATAAAGGAAAAGCAACAGCATCTCCAGGTCCAGCCTTCTTCTTCAATCTGGTCTTCACAATTACAGGTTTCGGGTCTTTATCATATTGCTGGTAATTTTCTCTCTCTATCTATCCATCTTTATTCCATCTCCTGCGTGTTTCAATCTGGTATTTTCGTGCTTCAAATGCTCGGCTACTCTTACCGCTGTATTGATTTTCTGTCCTTGAATCTCGCTTTTGTTCTTTCGTTTATTTGGTTTCATGTGTCTGTTTACATGGTGATCTGATTTTCTGTTATGCCCTTGCATAATAAGAAGTAGGTGTATCTAGTTTGTATGCGTTTTGGAGTATCGATTGAAGATATTGATCTTTTTTTTTACTCAAATAATGAACAGCTTACATAATCAACCAGATACACATGTAAGACATTCATTGTAAATCTTGTAAAGATATGGACATCAAAAATAATACTTTTTACACACAAATGATGATGCGAGGATGCGTAACAGACTAACAGTTAGAGAGACATACTTTATTACGAAAAAATGCATACTTATACTATGGAGGTGTCATACTTATAATATTTTAATGTATATGACATTTTAGTAAGAAAGTATATATCTGTTGGAAGATGACGACTGCCTAACCATAGGAGCCCAACAAGCCTAACAAAAGACCTACCATTTTTGAAACGTTCAAAAACTATATTGCAAGTTTCATCTCTATCTTGCATATATACGTCGGCCAATATGCAAAAGCGTTAAACACTTGTTTATGAGACAATGGCATAAGATCATGTGGTGCCAACATAGTGAAGAACCATATGAACTTAGAAAATGTCATTTGGCCTGTAGCATATTGGTGGTCAGATCATTAAGGGATGGAAGATCACCTTTTGGAATATCCTTATTAAAGAAGCACTACAGTTTATACTTTCCTGTATCAACTTGATCTGATAAGGTCACTGATATTTTGTTCCACATTGTGCAAAGATTAACTTTTTGAGACCATTAACTTTCTTCTGGGAAAGACTTGCAACATTTCCTCAACTCATTATTCCTTAAGCTCATAAATTCTGTAAATGCGGTCTGCCAAATAGGACTTTAATGGTGTGCCATTGAGAGATTATTCACTTTTATCTGATTATGCTCACTTCTCATACATTATTTTCTTTTGAATCTCAAATAGAGCCAATTAGCTTATTTCCGGAGGTCAAAAACTTGTGTTTTTGTTTGATTTCTGATTCTACATGCCACTGTTTGTTGATGTAGTATTGCAAAACACATTCTTTTCACTCAAATCACTTATTTGATGTCCTGTTTTCACCAAATTTAATTGAATAGGGGTATGCTCAATTTGATATGTAATTTGTGCTACCATTCACATTTAATCACATTGTCAAATTTGCTATACTTTGTGTGCCCACGGATACAAAAATATAAAGATGACTTCCATAATGATAACTGCAAAAAAAAATTGGCTGTAGTAAATACTATTAGAAGTTTCACACTGTGCATTGTGGTTTACGCTTCTTACAGCAGTACGTGGCATAATCATTTTGTAACAAAAAACAGTTTTTAGTAACAAAACCTAAAAGTCATTGTGGTTTACACTTCTTACAGCAGTACGTGGCATATCATATATTTATCTCCCAATGAAGTACAATAATAACAGAGGCAAAGAAAATTAATAGAATGCTCATTTGTTTCTGCATGCGTATGGGTTTTCAAATAATTCTATATTGACGTTTTCAATCCAAGTTTTATTCTTTTTAACTGTCGCAGATATGGATACTGCATCAAGTCAAGGCTTGTACCCACTGCACCGCTGCAAAACTATTCACTTGGTTAATATTTTCTTACTTTTGTTGCTGTCCAGCAAAACTAGGTACCCATTCCGGAGTTGAATTAGCAAGGTGTCTAATATGGGAGCACTTCATATTATTTTGTTTAGGTGCGGCATGCTCAGGGATTTCACAATGTAGCTGGAGAAAAGGATCACAGTGCATACATGTCTCCAGAACTTTTTGATGCACATCTTACCCCTCTTGGTTGGCTGCAAGTACGTATCATTTTATTGTCTATTCTTGTGGCATTTAAATTTGGATTGCATTTTTTTTATGATCTCCTAGCATAATTTTAATTCTAATTGTCAAAAAAAAAAAAAAAGGGATTCTCTGTATTTTTAGGTACATGTATCATCTTATTATAGCTAAGAAAGCGTCTCAGAAGTATATTATGCTATCAGCTAATGACTGCAACAAAGTACAATTTTATATTATGAAAAGGAAAGGACGAAAAATGACGTTCACAATGTAACAGGTGGATAATCTGCGCAAGCATGTTCATTCATCGGGTATTTCTAAGAGAATTGAATTAGTTGTTGTTTCCCCTCTGTTGAGGTGCGCTGAACTTCTGATTCCTCTGCGGCTTCTCTACTGTTATCTTAATTTCCCGTTCTTTTTTCCTCTCATAATTGGCTTCTTGAAAATAATTATTTATTGTAGAAACTCTAAGCCCTAAGGAGTAAGATCACGATTGATACCAAAAACTTTCACTTTTGAAAAGTCATGATTTAACACAAAAGTTTTCAGCAAATATACTATCGACTCTTCTCACGTTTTCCTGATTCGAATCTTATCTATACAATTTTTAAAATAAAACTAATTATTACCACATATACCACTATAAAATTAACTATCCATCCACTCACACATTCAACCATCATTTATCTATATCACATCTACTTTGATCATTACTTTTTCATCCTATGCTCATTTGGCCATTCACATTCTCAATGCTTTCATTTGACCCTCCAAAGATTTTTCAACACTATTATCTAAGAAAAACTTTTGGCTTGGGACTAAAGGCTATGTTGTTGTTGTTGTTGTTGTTGTTTGTATTATCTAAGAAAAACTTTAAAAACAAAACTATATTCAATTGCACCCTAATGGTCTGTGTTTAACATGTGCGTGTCTAATAGTCATTTATTTATCATATTTTTTTTCTGGCAACCCTCGAAAAGGGACCTAGAACATGAAATGTGTGTACAAAGACTTATGTCATCTGGAGAAGGTGTGGTGGAGTGTGATGGGTTTGAGTTGAAAACTGTAGTTTGCTTTCCACTTTCTTGAAACTACAATCACTGCTGAATTTGTGGTATATTCATTGTGCAGTAGTACTAGATAGAGACGATAAGCAGGCCCTTGAGATCCTTGCTGTTTATAGTTAAATTTTGTAGACCTAATCTATTACTAAGCGCAACTAGCATTGCAGGACTATTCAAACAGCTGTTGGGGTTTTTGGTGGAGAAGCTTATGCTGATGGAATTGATGCACCTCCTCTAATGACAGCAAACGCTGGTGACAGTAACCATCCTGCGATTTCAAGTTTAAACTCCCCACCATTTGTGGCAGTAGAACTTTGTCGTGAGCATTTGGTATGAAATGTCTGAACACACAGCATTATGTACCGCTGTAGGATTTTTTTCCTTCATATTTTATAAATTGATGTGGGTCGCTTGCATCCCTGGTCAGGGTAATTTTTGTCATGTGCATTTCTTTTTTCACCTTTTTATCCTCTGTCATTCTTAGCTCATGTTGCATGTTACTCCCTCAATGCTACGTGGAATATTAGATAAACTTGACGTGATACGTAATGTGTAGATACTTTTGTTATTGTGATGTTTCCATTTTGTGTTGTACCATCACTATTTTAAGTGCACATGCTTCAGAAAAGTTTAATATAAGGAAAAGGCCTATATTGGGAAGTCTTGGTAACAGTAAAATAGGATCTATAAAATTAGGACGACGTCTTAGTAGAGTTTTTGGGTCTGTCTTTGATTGTTTAATGATTTAATGTTGTTAGAAGTTTATGTTTGCCCTGCATTGATTAGTGATTGGGTTGTTATTTTGTATAAGTGTGAGTTGAGCTCCCCCTCCCTTTGAGCTAGCTTTAGGAGATAATATCACCCAGTCTCATTTATCACTTGTAAATATATAGATCCATTTCTATAAACATCACTCCTGTCCAATTGTTTTGATATAAATCATTTCAAATATTTCATGATTGTACTTATCTTGCTTCTAAATGGGCATGACTATCTTTGAGCAAAAAATTTTGGAACTTTGGAATCTAGCTAGACCTTTATAAACCATGAGATTGGTTTATATCAGAACTTTGGCACGGTCCATTTACCTTTTTTCCTTAGTTGGTGGGTAGGCTTGGGAATTATTAGACCTAAATAATTAATTTTAATCAAGAGAAGCCTAAGAATTATTCAGTTCTTGATTAGAAAAATCTAATGCAGGGGGTGCACTGGTGTGATAAGAGAAGGAGCATAAGTGAGTACAAGCCGCTCTTTCCTGCAGTCGACTTTTCGCTGGCAAGTACATGTTCTTTCTTGAGTTTCTCCTTCACACATCCGAACGAAAAGAACATATACTGACGTGACTTGTTCTTTTTACCTTTGTGCTTATGTTCAGATAGAAACGGATGCTGACACTCTATGGAAACTTGATGTCAGAGAGGCAGATAAAGACCTTGCTCAGAGGGGACTGAGATTTTTGAATTGGTGACTTTTTTTTTCTCAATTAGTTTGCTTGAATTAATTTATGTAATTTTTGAAGAATCATAACTAAATATCTATTCTATGTGTTCTTTCTGGTATGGTGAGGTTGTGGACACGCGAGGAAACTGAGATAGCTGTTGTTACTCACAGTGGATTCTTAATTCATACCCTTGCTGCATTTGGAGATGATTGTCATCCATCTGTAAAGAATGAAATATGCAGACCGTAAGTTTTTTGGTCATTTCTAAGCAATATATCTATTATGTAAGTATTGTTAATGTTACCACATTGGGTTCCATACAAGCTCCTGCATCACTATTTGCCCAAGTTTCCAGAGTAATTTTCGCGTGTCCAATGATTTGAATACAGTTGTTTGTTCGAGAATGAAATTTGTCTTTAAGAAAAAATGTAACAGGAATTTATTCTCTTAAGATAGCAGAAATGAAATCGAGGAATGTGCATATTCATTCAAATTAACCATGCCTTTTTAGCAGTTGTATGATTCCATCATCTGATTATTCTTGTATCAATGTTGTTACTATTTCTGTATGCATGTAAATGTATTATGCTTTAAAATTTGAAGCTGATGAGTATGAATCACGTGCAAGAAAAGAAACTAGTTGACTTACATTTGCAAGTTCGTTTGCAGATTCAACAATTGTGAACTTCGATCGGTGGTCATTGTTGATAAAAGGTACACAGTATACAAAATAATTATTTGGATAACCGGTTTTCTCATTTTAAATGTTCTCAGTTCTCACCCCATGCCTTCTAATTTTCAGTATGATCTCTTCAAGTGCTTCGAAAACTGATTATCCGGGAAAGATTCCTCGTGGGCCCGATGCCCCTAGTGATTCTGCTGATGAAAAACATTGATGGTTTTTCATTGTTTGTACTACTGGTTTTATGGGTGCTTATATGATTGATTCTTAGATTAATTAACAGAAATCCCCAGAACATGGTCAAGTGATTCAGTATGATAGCTTCACTCCCTTTTAATTAGAGATAAAATTACAATTTGGTGAAACTGTTTAGGCTAAAGAAGGTTGTGCAAGACATTTATTGCTTTTAGCTTAAATTGTTTAGTTTTATGTTTAGGATCATAGCTCACTTGATGTTGATGCAGTGCGTTGTGCCCCACTGCTATTGTTTTTCTTTCTCCCTCGAAGATTTGAAGTTGTACTTGGAAAGAACCGTGGTTAATGGTTATTAAAATCGGTTTAGCTTAGTAAAGCTTGCAGACTATTTTATAACGGCAATTATATTAGTATATTTTCTTTTTTCTCATCGATGTTAATACTTACTAGTATATATCCCGTGCGATGTACGGGGCAATAATTATAAACTGCATGTATTAAAATAATTAAATATTGGGTAGTATAAAAATAATTTTGAATATTAAATATTAATATTTTTTCTTTTATTTTATGATATATAATAATTTAATGTATGATTTATATGTTTATTTCACTGACTATAAAATAATTGTCATTTTAGAGTTTCTGTTTATAAATAAGAACTAGTGCGTAGCCCGTGCGATGCACGGAAAAATAATATTACGATTTTATTATAAATTAATTATATAAATAACATTAATTATAATTTATCCATTATTTTTAAATTAAATCGGGTTGCACACAGTCCGACTGGATGGATCAGGAACCGGTTTATAACCAGTCTAGTTCGCTTGAATAAAATATTTGCTCTGGAATCCGTCAACACCAGTCGGTTGGACTGGTAGGATCAATACGATTTTCTAAATAAATTTTGTTGTATTTAAAATTATTTTAAATAAAATTACATATTTAATTAAAATAGAGATTTATATATTATTTATCAATTAGTTTAAAACATTTGAATTTATAAATTGTTTAGATATCTAAGTAACGCATTTTATTTAAATTTATTACAAAAGTACTATATATATATATATATATATATATTAAAATGTTTATAAATTAAAATCTGAACAAACCACAAATGATTTAATAAAATAGCTTGATCGTTTCGATGACGGTCCAGTTCTGAAAATCTTATATTTACTGTACATTAATAAAAATTATAATAAAATATTATTTAATTCACATAAATATTAACAAAATGATATATAAATATTCATAAATCATTAAACATGTTGTCATAAAAGTATTGTTAATACGATTATTTGAAGTTTGGACTACATCACATTCACGTAATAACATATTTTCAATATAAAACTTATATTTAGGTTCAATAATCGATTTGATGTGGTCGAACTGATACATAACTTAGTCACCTGGGACCAACCAAGTTGTGTCAAATTTTTTGATTATTTTAATTATCACTGAAAAGTAATTCAATCAACCTGGGCAGTACCCTAATTCAATCACCCGATTGATCCGAAGAAATTTTCTTATTTTCTTTAAATATATTTAATTTTATGAAATAAAAATATTTTATGACATATAATAAATGTCTACACCAAATGATAGTATATTAAGATTATGTATTATATATCTAAAGATGAATTAATTATTTTTACTTTATGCATATTAATTAAAAATAAACATAGTAATTTTAAAAAAATTAAGATTAATTGATTGATTATGCAATTTAAATAATATTTTTTGCGTTCAATATGTTTTTTTAACGGCACAAATATAAAATCGAGATTCTAAAACTTTTGTTATATTTTGGATTGAGATTTTATAAATATAAAGACCGAGATTTTAATGTTGTTCGTTGTTTCTAAGAAAAAAAAAGTAAAAATAAAAACAAACACATTTAATAAATCTTAACTGGATTTTTTAAATAATAAAATAAACTAAAACCCGAAATTTAAGGTAACATTTAATGTTGTATGATTTTTAAAGAAAAAAATAAGAAAAGTAATAAAACTTTCTATATATAGGCTGCATTAAATTTTGACTTATTTTTTGTTACTATTTTTAGTAAATGTTAATTCTTATTATATATATATAGATGATGAAAATTTAATATATTCAAACATTATTGATAAATATTACTCACATAATATTTCTCTCTGTCTATTTCTTTAAACTTACCTTATTACAATACATTATGCCGATTTCTAAACAAGTTATGCTAAAGTTGTAAAATTTTGTTAATTATTATAACCAATACTTAATTAAAAAAAGTTGCAATATATATTGTTTTGAAGTTAAAAATTAGTAGTTTTTAATTACATTAATATTATTTTATTTTATCTTATAACAAATAATAATGTATATTATAAATAATTTAAATTTTCTTTCTATTCTATTAATTTATATGAATTTTGTTATGATATTGTGAATCACACTAAGAATTTTTAAAACTGGTTTGGTGTAGTTATTGATAAAATCAAATAATGTTTTTGAACTAATTGAATAGATAATTTTTTATATATAACTCGCTCCCAAATGATCATAGAAATTTGTTATTAATATTGAGATATCAACTAGCATGAGTCCCGTGCAGTGCACGGGTAAGAGATATTCATTAATAGTTATAAATTAAAATTTCTTATTAAATAATATTATAAATTAAAAATATGGAATCAATATGTAATACAATTAACCTTGTTAATTTGTTGAAAATGTTATATAAAGTTTAAATTGTGCAAAATTACATAAGATGTCTATTTAAAATTACTATACAACCCGTGCGGTGTACATAACTGATAATAAATTATATAATATTCGTTTCAAAATAAGTGTCATTTACATTAAAAAATTCTCTCGACGGGGAGCGACAGCATTCTCTCGACGGAGAGCGGTTAATTCTCCCGGCGGGGAGCGGCACACCTAGGGTTTTCTGACATGGGTACTCCAAAATGTATTGGTCAAGATGAAGATTTGGCTCAACGCCTTAAGGACTTCTCATTATCAGACAGAGAACATTCACTCATTGACATAGCCAGCGATGACATCAAAGCAAGTGATGATGAGTGCCACCGGAGTTTATTTGGCAGAGTCATCGGAGATCGTAAAGCATCATGGATTGGTATCAAACGCTCCATGAGTCACATCTGGAGGTTAACTCAACCAATGGAGCTGAAGGAATTAGGGTACAATTACTTCCAGTTCATCTTTCAGAATAGGGACGATCTGCGCAGAGTGGCTAACGGCACCAATTGGATCTATGATAACCAGTATCTCATACTTGCAGAGTGGCAGGAAGGATTATCTATCTCTCACCGAGTGTTCCAAGAACTTCAAATATGGGTCCAGGTCTTTAATATCCCTCTAAACTGGCTTAGCACTGATGTAGGCATAAAAATTGGAAAAATTTTTAATTCAGTTAAAAATGTGGTTGTTGTGGGAGCTGGAGCTCATGTGGGAAAAATTATGAGACTGCTTGTTACAATTAATGTGAATGAGGCTCTGCCTCGATGTGCAAACCTGAGGTTTGGGGACCAGATTCTCTCAGTCAGCTTCAAATATGAACGGCTGGTAAACCACTGTCACTATTGTGGGCTCATTGGTCATCTGGATAGGAGCTGTGCCAAAAGGATGGAAGATATTAGGCTCAATACTGTCAAGGAAGGCCAATTTGGAGATTGGATGAAGGCGCCTGAGGGACAACATTGGTCTGGCATTAATTCTGGTGACAACAGAAGCCCTTCTCAATCTGACAAACCCTCTTCACCAACTCCCACCACGCCTGTCCATACATCAGATAGCCAAGTAGCAGATAATAACCAACTGACAATCCTCCCAGAAGCTTCCTCCCAACATCCAACCTGTGATGAACATCATTCAAAGGATAAAGGAAAAGGGATCTGTACTCCCACTGCACAACCCTGCCATCAATCATCATCTCCAACACAAAGTCTGGCCATGATGATCACAGACTCACCCAAGCCAGCTCAGAACCAAATAGTTATCAGAGACATGGAAACAGATGTGCATCTTCAACAACCAATCCATTCTCCAGCATCAAAGACATTAATACCTCTGAGAGTTCTACCCAAAACATGGAAGCGATCCACAACCAGACTGCAAAGACAAGAAGAAGGCCAAGATCAAACCATATCAACAATGAGAGGAAAAAGACCTAGAATGGAATCTGATATGATAGTTTCTTCTCCAGCAGGATCAGAAGATAACACAACAGATAACAAAAAACTGAAAGCATCTCAGTCCAAGGTGGGGGAGGCCAGCCACAATTGGCTCCCGAGTGATCAATGCTAGCTGCGGTGTGGAACTGTAGAGGGCTGGGTGGGCCCTCTACAGTTTCCCAAATCAGAGAGTCAATGAAGACTCACCATCCAACCTTCTTCTTTCTCTCAGAAACTAAGAAACCGGCTGCTTTTACAAAGTCAGTGATTAAGAAACTCGGATTTGCAGACAGATATGTGTTAGTAGAACCAAAAGGTATAAGTGGAGGCCTCTTATTGCTTTGGTCCACTGAGGTCAGGATTCTCCAATCTCAAGCTTATGATTTTTTCATTGCTGTGGAATACCAACTTCACGATGAAAACCCCATGTGGGGAATCTTCGTCTATCTGAGCACATGTAGCACTACCAGGGCTACTCAATGGGAAATGTTGGTGACGGAAAAAGCAAGGTGGGGAAGCAGATGGTTTATTATGGGGGACTGGAACGATCTTTGCTCTCAAAGTGATAAAAAAGGTGGTATCAGGAGATCTGCTAGAAGTCTGGAAGGTTTCACCAATTTTATTAACTCAATGAAAATGGATGAGATCCAAATGGTGGGCTACAGCTTCACTTGGTGTAATAATAGAACTCCAGAAGGATTGGTGGAAGAAAAGCTGGACAGAGGCTTTGGCTCTGGAGAATGGCTAGACAGATATCCAAATGCTTTCATATCCAATATCCCCAGAAGTGCCTCAGATCACTCACTTCTTCTTCTGAACACTGGTTCTGGACCAAAGAGATTCAAAGGCAGATTTCACTTTGACAAAAGATGGATAGCAAAGGAAGGCATCACTGAGGTCATTCAGAAAGCTTGGGCAACTACAGTCAGAGGGACACCATTTTACCAGTTGAAAGAGAAAGTAAAACTTACCAGACAGGCACTTTTAGTTTGGAGTGCACACTTCAAATCTCAGAATCAGTCCAAAATTGAAGAACTCACTAAACAGCTGGAATCCATTCAAGCATTGGGGTTGGAGGAGCACTGGGACAGATGGGACACTACCAAAAAAGAACTGAATGAAGCACATAAATATGAAGAGCTTTTTTGGCAACAGAAAGCCAAAGTCCAGTGGCTTAAGGAAGGTGATTGCAACACGAAGTTTTTCCATGCTTATA